ATGCGCCTGTAGCAAGACACACCGTCATCCTCGTTGGAGGGAAATCTTTCTCAACATAGTTGAGTCACTATCTTCTAGCGACTGGCGTCGAATAAAACTGTTCGACGCCCCACAGTCAACCAGGGCGCGAAGTGACATTCCGCTTGTCACTTCGATCTTCAAAGTGATGAGAGACTTCTCATCACTAAAGTCAGTAGCAAACAGCGACTGTGTGCTGGGAGCAATTTTTGTCAAGAGTACTGCGAATTCTCTTGACGTTGCTGGATTAGCAGATTGCTCCGCCCCTACTGACCCTGACCGTTTTTGACGGTCCGACTTGCTGTCGAGGTTTAGCGACATTGGACCCGAGCCTCGAACCCTTCCTTGGCCAACGGCGGTCATCACGTCCTGTCTTTGGACGTGTTCCGGTGCTCGGGACACTACACTTATGAGCGTAGTGTCCAATCTTCTGACAGCGATGGCATTTTGCCGTTCGCTTGTGACTCAGAGATCGAAAGTTCTCGCTCTCGATGTAACAGAGGTCTTTTGGTTCGGGACCTCTTGTTTCCTGTCGTCTCGTCGGACGATAGTTTAACGAGTTAGCCTGAGACCGTCTCAGGCTGGAGTCTTCTTGTCTCTCATACGCTATCGCCTTTTCCGGCTTATGGAAGTCCTCTCGGAACATGTAGGTCTTCACCTGTCCATCTACATGGCCGTAGATGAACACCTTGATGAGTGTGTGCTCATCAACAGGGTTTTCCATGACGCTTCTCGCAAGGTAGCGCAGGTGTTGTGCGTAAGCATGCACATCACGCTTACCTTGCTTGAGCCTCAGGAGTGCAGAGCGTGCTCTGAACTCGGCTCTCGGCGGCTCAAACTTCTCTTAAGTCGAGACTTCAGTATCTCTAACTACTCAAACACGTTTGAATCTTGAAGCTTGAGCCCTAATCTTTGCTCGTCCTGTCAAATTTGACAGGGCAAAGGTGACTTGCATCTCGTCACCCTCGATGTGACGGGCCCTGATGGCGTCGTCTAACTCGACGAACCATCTAAAAGTGGAATCTTTATCAGTTACCTTGTACCTTTAGATATCTACCTTCAAGGTTTCGGGTCGACGCGTGTGCGTCGGCAAGCTTATCAACTGATGGGAGCCTTGCTGTTGTCGCAAGGCTATCTTTTGTCTTTCGACGGCAAGTTCCCCTTGTAGGAACCTGTTGATAGTAGCATGTTGCTGGTCGCTGTTTAGAGACTCCAACATACCGCTGATGGAGGGTTCGCCCATGAGCACACTCATGCGGCCGACTATCTCCCCTTCTGAGTCACTAAGATGGGAGTAGCCTTCATGTGTGACGCGAAAGCTGTTGTCTTCTACGTCCAACATGTTTATGTCGGACGGACACTAAGTAGTCGTTGGACGGAATACGAAGTGCTACCGGGTGTAACGGGAACCCTTTGTTTGGGGTGCCGCGAAACTTCACGTACACTAGTACATACAGAAGAATCTATTCTACTTGAACGACTCTTTCAAGTAAAGGTAAAAAGAGAACTGAATTGAATAAAGTTAAAATATCAACATAACTCCAGTCTTTATCTAATTAACTAAACTACACCGTCGTATGACGACAACCTGCTCACCACTCATTGCGCGCGTCTAGCAGCGATTGGTGGTAATCTATGATTGATATGACTTATATGAACCAATCTTTGAGGAGCGCATGAATATTATCCTACAAGGGAATAATATTCCTTTAATTTGATCCAGCTCGGATAATGTTGGTAGGGAATTGTCACGCTAGACAACCTCCCTATTGACACCGTTTGGTGTCAATATCACGTAACGGGCTACTCGTTACACTTTAAGTTAACATCCGCTTCGTCTTAGAGACTCTACGAGCTCAGAAGTTTTTCTCTGACTAAGGAGTTAGGATAGCTCCGCTACAGAATAATTGAGGAAATAATTCGATAATCATTTTGAACGACGTTGTTTTTGATTGGTCATGCAACTACACAACCCTATAAAAGACAGATCACAAGTATTTTGCAGGATGTTGTATGAGAGTCCGTTGAACTACACGCACATCTTTTGTTTTATCAGTTTCGGTGGTGGCGGCAATACATATACGTACTACCGTTGTTAATTTTCTGTCTATAAGACGAGCTAGAAAGTTATGGCCAGCTTCTGTTAAAGCAATGGATACGAGGATGCTCTCGCTCCTTGTCACGTGCGTATACATAAACACATTATAAAAGGGCCAATGGTTAAGCTGAACCGTCCGCTATTTACGAAGTTGGACAAGTTAAGTTGAATCTATCATCAAGAACATCGCACTGCTATGTGCTGCTTTGTGTACAGGACTCGGTCACAAGGCAAACAGTGTTAATGAAAATATCAGCAAGTGGGTTGTCAAAGTTACAGTTCGTTATTAGCGCGATAAGAGAAAAAGATGCCGAAGCTCTTCTGATTGAGCATTGCGTCCGCTATCATGAACGAAATTATCGACTAGACAAGTGCATTTTAATAAAATTTTCGAGAAACAATTTGACCATGTGCTATACCGGAAAGACCCATCAATAAGACTGATTGACGATTTTTTTCCGATAACGCGCGACAATGAAGATGAGCAAAGTGGTGAGCAGAGGAATTATGATCTTGATCTCCACTTGTGACTGTGTCATCCCATGTCCACTTTCTTGACGCCTGATACTGTCTCGGAAGTAACACTTGGTGCTACGGCTGGAAGTAGCACGTTGGCGAGGCCCTTTCCGTATCGCTGGGGGGGTTTGACTGAAAGAAGGCAAAGAAAAAACATATCGCGACACCATCTTTTTTGTTGCCTACCCTTTTTTGTGCGTTTGACAACAACGACATAGCCTTGTTGCTGTGAATGGGCTTCAATTTTTTGCCTTTGCTTCCTCCAAAGAATCGTGCTCAATCTCAGGAAGTGGCCCGAGACTTTTCATTGTAGTGAGCAATCACAAAACAAGAATAAAATCAATATAGAAGGCGGCAAAAAAATGGACGCACGTGTGATTATAGAAATTACTCAGAAACTCTTAGCCTTACTTTTATCCAATCAAATACAACGTCTTTCAAAATGAATGAATACGGAGATATATTAATTAATGGTGGGTGATGGCTGTTTAACGAAAGGGGGGTGGCTGATTAACGGTGTCCAATGATTAAACGCAAACCATGTACTCATTTATTTGACCATTTATAAAGGCCAATCAAACGTTACTATAGCCATCTCGACTTTCATTACTGCCCATCTCTAACCCAACCTCATCTGTAAGAAACATATCGACCAATTGAATGATTTTATTTAACAGCCAGATTCAATTTCTGAACAATAATTTGATGACAGTAGCCAGATCGCAAACAACTGTAGCCAGACGCATAGCCTGCCGAAGACTACAGCAAACACGTTCAGACGTCAATAGAGAGGTACGGACGCCACTCTGGAAGCAATCTGCCCATAGCTCTCTTTCAGTAAACGAGGGCGTATTCCAGTGCAAGAGGTTTCGTCTCGATTACGGATCTTCTATACAGCGAAATATGCGCTCACGACTACATCGAGTCGACCGATCGCGTAGCATATCTGCACCGCACGGTCAACAAGCTGCAAACAGCGTACCCAAGCTATGCATCTGTACTTGTATGCGTGTATAGCGGTCCATAATATGTGGGCCAGCACATGGTAGCTTATTTACCATTGCCGGCGAAGTTGCGCGTGCTAGGAACTGCTTCACGTTCGTCGTGTTTTAAGAACAAGCACTCATCACTGTGTAGGTCATCAGGAGGCAACCACCATGTAAGCAGCTCTTTGTGCTCGTACAGTATAGGATTGCAAGTCAATTGTCGTATTGGATACTGCTGAGACCATGCACCAGCTCGTCTCATTCGCGCTCTTCAATAATTACTCGGTCAAGCAGTCACCACTTGACCCTACCCCTTGTCCCACGTGGCACAGATGTCCATACTTAAATCAAGAGGTACGAGTTCAGCAGCCGCCACAGGTGCCACGCCTTGTGAACGTGAGGCCGAATCTTCGGCCACTCGAGTTTCGTCTCACAAACCACTTTGACCAGCTGAATCTTTCCCGATGCTTTTCCGGAACATCAGCTTCGCCCCGCGCTCAGTGATTTCCATCCCCCGTCGTCACTTTGCAGCTCTCACGTCTTTGACGAACGTCCAGCAGGCAAACGGAGCTCGAAACCATGAAGCACAGCAACGTGGCGAGCTGATTTATGCCCCCTCAGGCTCAGACGACGGACGATTTTACATTGAGCAGCTGTAGGTTTGGCTGCTTTTGTGCTTTGAAACGTGCAACTTGACTGATCAAAGGTTGGTTTGTATACCTCATACTTATTTGCTCAGGAACGAGCACTGGCGCTCAGCAGTGGCAGGCCAGAATTTCAATCAGGGCGATGTTATTGGCTCGGCCCCTGGAACTCTGGTACGGATCTTTTGCGGAAAAACATGTGCAGGGAGCGTATTGATACATATCGGGGAATGACTCGTGACTTGATGCAGTACTCAAAGCCCACTCGGTTCACGGTGCAGATCACCCCAGAAAAGCACATTGACTTTACTGGCGGACTTGAGTTTGTGAACCATAGTTGTGATCCCAATACGCGCATCGATGTGGTGGAGAGTGAGGCGATAGTGTCGTTTGTGGCTATCAAGCCGATCAAAGAGGGCAACCATCTGACTTTTGACTACTCTACGAGCGAGTGGGACATGGATGAGAAATTTGACTGCCGCTGTGGATCACCAAGATGCAGTGGCTACATTCGCGGTGCGAAATACCTCTCGGACCAAGAGGTGAATGAGCGCTTGCCGTACTTCACGCCGAGCGTGTTGCGCCAGTTGCTTGAACGGAAGCTGACGAACTGAGTTTGGAAAGAGGATCGAGGATCTTCGCTTCACATCGAGGTCCTTGTCAGGCACGTAAACACTCAATAGAGCTCATTGAAAGGAAGCAGGTAGCAACGTAGTACATCTTGTCTCTGTCAAGTACTTACAACCGAGTAGTACTAGGTGGGTACTTCTCAGGACAAGTAGCTAGGACGTGTTTCCATTGTTCGATTGTGTCGATGACCCCTGCAAACACTTGTTTGTCTTCGATGCGCACTTGAACCGCAAGCAGCAGCCGAAAGCTCGACTCTGCCGTTGCATCAGCCAGTATCGCCTTGTCCTCCTCGAGCCTGTTTGCAGCCACGCATGACGAGAAGAAAAATTACCAAAGCAATCAACATGTGACCATAAAAAAACTCTGCACGTACGTCGTCGGAAAAGTCTCGAGCTTACGGCGACAGGAATTTTGTATGTTGTTGTAGACAGCCAGTTCATTGCGAGCGCTGATGATAGATGACTCGAAAGCCTGCAGCAGAAACATGCGCCGTAACGATCGTTCTGTCAACCTAAAGCTGCAGAGATACTTGAACGCCGATTCACAAACAACGCACCTTTTTGTACAGACGAATCTCCTGCTCGTCCATCAAAACCACGCGCAGTGTAGCGAGGAGTCTCTCGTCAACATCATTTCGAAAAAGAGTGCCGCAAAAGTCGTACGTCTGTTCCTTCGTAAGCTCGTTCGTATCCAGAAGGGTTTGCTTCAGCTTCAAATACGGATCTGCTGGTGGAATCTTCACCCAAAAGTCCACAGCCCGTCTAGAGTTCTCTTGTGCGACGAAGCCATACGAATAAAGCAATTTCGCATTCGAGTACTGCCCATAGCTAATGTTGACGGCAGATCCGTTCGGTACTTCGGTTGGAACATGATGGACCATCATTTGCTTCTCTTCATCGAACGAAACAAAATCATCCAGTGGGTTGTGCAAGTTCACATCATGATTGAACATGTCCATCGCTGGACACAGCAGACGCAAGTACCTCCCGTCTTTGGTCACACCAAACGCACGACTCCAGATCACAGCCATTGCCCATGTATAATCCTCGAGCGTCAGTGTCGGCAGCGGTGCAAAAATCTCGGGAAACTCGTCCGTCACTTCTTGGTGAATGCTCTGGTAGTCCCTCTTTAGCTGTCGCTGCATCATTTGTGTCAGCAGCAGCACATTTGTGCCTTTGAGCTCGATCAGCTCGGCTTCTGACCAGAACACAGGCAAGTCGAATGTAGCTGGTAACGACGCGATGAACGGAGCAAAGAACGATCTTTTGCCTTTGCTCCGCTCGTGCATGAGATGCAGTGCCAGCACCTCATCAGGTGGGATCTGTGGATGCCTTTTGAGCACGAGTGCAAGATCCGAGTGAGCGGCAGACTCGATCGTCATTGTGAGCCTGAACGGGATCTGCAATGCCACTTGACCACAGGCGAGCGACTGCTTGGCGAGCACCCCATGACCTTCGCATTTGCCAAGGTATCGAATTTCCAGCAACATGTCGGTCGTTCCATTGCCCTCGAGCCATTTTAACAGTGCAGATACCACCGCAGACGAGCTCATAGGGATCCGATAAAGCTGTTCGACTAGTCTTGATATTGTCGTCTTGAACGAGTGGCTGACAACAGGAAGAAGCGACTGACTGCAGTATGGATACGGTTGGTATAAATAGGCGAGTGGTCATGTCGAATGGTTTGTACGTCAGCATGGTAGCCGTTTGTAAATGTGGACGCCGCAACAGCTCATTTCGATCGTGTCAGCCATCCTTTATCGTACTTGCATCATTTGTTAGTAACCAATCGGATATGGTGCACTTGTCCAGTATGAGGATCGTCGAGGCGGCAGCGAAGGTGAAACATGGACTTGTGGAGACCTCACAGCTTGAAGTTATTGCGTGCTGGTGTTTTGTTTTCACTGGAAGGTGATGTGATGCAGACACTACATCGGTACGCATGGTGGCCAGGGCTCTAGTAACTCCGTTAAAGTTAGCAGTCGTCTGCACAAGCTGCCTCATGTGAGAGATCGCAGTAGGACTACGGTTTGACCGAGTGAACGACAAAACGAGACAAGCTCGCAAGTGTAAAGATGGCGAGGGGGATGGCGCTCTGGCCATGTTGGTTTTCCAACAAACAGCGCACAGTGTTGGAAAGCGAGCGTTGTATGCACAAGATGTCAACGAAGCACATAACAATCGAATGCACACCGCAGCGCATCACTTTTGATCACGATAACGGTGTCAACCATAACGCCGGATCGTTCGATGTTGCCATGTAAGTGTAGCAATACGAGGCAGCGGAATGCGCTGGTACCAAAGGTCGCGCTCTTAGCATTTAAACTTCTCGACAGCGCTGATACCTTATGCTTCTGGTGCTTTTGTCAGTAGACAAGATCGTCCGTTCCTTTGCAAATTTAGCGGGGAATCGGAGTGAACTACGAACAAGAGATGGATGCAACTTGAGCAGCCGGATGAGGAACAAATGAACGCGCTTTTCAAAGTCTTTGTTTTCGATGACTGGAGACAGCGGATGAATTTCTGGCACCTCATCATTGCGATCATCGCTAGTATCGATGTGATTTATGCTGGATGCATTGCCGGCGGCTATTCAACGCTGTTTGTATCAGTCACTGCACAAGTGCAGGGTAGCGGGTGTGCAAACCATAGAATGAGTCGAGCTTAGTTTTACGCAGATAGAAAGTAGCCTGTGGGTCTCTGGGAGACACAGCGCTAGCATCAAGAAATCTCCACGAGCATTGTAAGCTATCTGAACGTGAAGAAAACGAATCTGTAGTGGAGAATGAAAGCAGCAAAATGCAATCGCAAGAGCAGCTATGCAGCTGTGCTAACAAATATAATTGTGCCCATGAGCAGCACATCACCGATAGCGCACGGACGCAGTAGTAAAAGCTGACAAACCGACTAGCAAGATTGTGACAAACAGAGACAAGCGGTCTCAGAAAGACTTGTCGTGTTCGAAAAGCAGGACTATAGCGAAGGTGAGGACGATAGACAAGATCTGGTTCAGGCAGAGTGACGTATGTAAAGGATCTGTTCGTAAATTGTGGCGACGCATGGAATATGACGGACCTGAAACCGCATTACGTGCCGCCTTAGAGCCTGGATCCAATAGTTCGTCAAGCAGACTACGACCGCTTTTATATCTACAGAGTTTGTTGTTCCGACAGTGCGTGAAGATTCAGTGACGGTGTCTCTCAAAGATCTAGTTGACCTAAAAATAAATGACTCGGAAAAGTTTAAGCAGATCGGCAGCACAGATCTGTCACCATTCCCTGAAGTAGAAGAAATAGTGAAGCAGAATGTGTTGCTCGATCTTCAAGTGTAAGGGATCGAAGCGGTATCAAAACGTGGTCCGATCAAGCTTCGACACAATGTCGAGCGGTTGATTGACTCAGTTGAGTAGCTCAAAACAGTATCGAGTTGACTAGGTGCATTAACAAGGGTGTGATCGATCAGGTATCTTGGCTACACCAACGGCACGATCTTATCAGAGATCTCACCAACTTTTGATCTACATATTACCTGTCCTTTTTCAAGACTGTCGCGTACGTGCTGTTCTATAACGGGAAGCTCCGTGTCGCGCAATGTTGTTGTCATTTGCAAACCGTGGCTATTTACCTAATCCCATGAGCATGTATTTGGCATGAAACATACCTAAGCATGTGCCCTGCGTGATGGTAGACGTATAAATGATACCAGACTTTTGACAAAAGCGCGGATGAAAATGATAGTAGTGGCAAACTACGAAGTTGGAGAGATGGAGGGTCAAGTCTGTCGCTTGCAGAATAATCAAGGGTGCGTTTACGCGCTGGATGCATCATGTTATACAGCGCTAGTGCAGATTACAGTGGGAGCTTTCAAACAGCGTTGAGTTTGCTAAGATCATACGCCTGCAATCCGAAGAAAACTTAATCGTGCTGCGTGCTTCACGATCTTTTTCTAGTGAAAGTCTTGGGCGAATGAATGTGGAGTTGGCGGCGAAGCGACTTCAAAGAAAAGCTGAGAAGACGTTTATCCTATTGAACTACAGGGGAGACTACTGCATTCAAGTGGATCTACTGGCAATTATCAAGGCATAAGGTGGGACAGTCACAATGTAGGGAAGGTGGGACAGTCACAATGTAGGGGCCATTGTCCCGTGTCAACATATCTAGAAACACTAAGTATACGTGTGGCAGCTGAGCTCAGGACGGAAACGTGATGTTCGTCGACCGAATCCTGTACCCATCTTCGTGCTGCTCCTTGTTTCGTGTGTCCTACCTAATTTCATGTGAGCAACACCATTTCCCGACCTGCACGCAGCCAGCCCACCCTCCCTTCCTCTCGGTAATCGCCATGTCGTTGGCGTTCCTGTCCAAGAAGAGCTGGCACACTGCCAATCTACGTGTACGTAGTGTCCATTGCCCTCTTCGGCTGCGTTCTGTGCTTTCGATAGCGGATACTTGTCGCTATTGGATTCGCGACTTGTAATTTATTGCATTGTATTTTATTTTATTCTCTGTAAAATATTTAATAGTTTTTTCTAACCTTGTTTGTTCATTATTTCTTTGGTGCAGAATGTGGAAAAAGTCTGGATCGCGGAGCAAAAGCATGCAGCGGAAGAGAAGAAAGTCGCGGAGCTGCGGAAAAATATCGAGCAGGAGAGGCAGCTGCAGGAGCTGCGACAGCTGCAGGCAGATCAAGGCAACAAGTCAGCGGCAATTGAGCGTGTCGACTGGATGTACGAAGGACCGTCGGCAGCTAGGGAGAAGACTGCAGAGGAGTTTTTGCTGGGCAAAGAGTACAAGGGGGAGGACGAAAAGACTGCGGTAGAGGATGTGGATCTGAGCGCCACGACAAAGTACGGCTCCTTGGCGATGACGAAGAGCGCCTTGCCGGTGAATGACGCGTTCCAGCGGCTGCACGAGGATCCGATGATGCTCATTCGCAAAAGACAGCAGGCTGCTCGTGAAGAGGTGTTGAAGAATCCAGTCAAGATGAAGCGGATCAAGGATGAGGTGGATCGTTTGAAACACATTAAGAAAGCTAAGAAGGCCAGTAAGAAGGAGAAAAAGCAGGCGCGGAAAGACGAGAAACGTCGACTGCGGAAGAAGAGGAAGCTTTGTGATGAAAGTGATGGCAGTGGCGAAGAACTTGACAGGAAGACGGAGAATTGTCAAGAGGAGGAACATCTTAAGGTGTATAGAGGACACGATTGTGCTGGTGAGAGGGGATTAGAGCAAAAATTGGCGAGTCGGTGCAGGTCGCCAATCCGTACGCACCATGACGATGATCGGCGCCGTAGTCGTTCGCGTCGCGGCGAACGAGAACCAGAGCGCAACGAGCGTAGTTACTCTCACCGTCGATCAGATCGCACAAATTCACGTCGGTACACCAGTGAGCGTGGACGAGAAGAGAGATCACCGAGAGGCCAACGTAGTTCGAAACATCGTCAGAGTCGCAGTCCTCAGCGAGATCATGACGCCTTTGGTCGCGAATTACCTCCTCCATCTCAACAAAGAGACCGCTCCGCGGGTCGCCATAGGAACACGCGGCCCGGGCAGGACTCTAGACGGAACACAGGTCATCGTTACGAGAATTGGTCAGAGAAAAGCTGCTCCCGAAGTCCAGTAGCCCGGTACTACAGGCGTCGGTCTCGCAGCTCTATTGACCGACGAGAACGACACCGCTCTCGTAGCTTGGGCGATTGTCCAGATAGAAGACGCTCGCGTAGATCTGGTGAGCGTCACGAGGAAGAGCGTCCTGGGCTTGAGCGCACTCGTCGGGATCGAAGCAGCCGGCAAGATGTGTCGAAAGCGCAAGCGAACAAATCTGTTGAGGTACGCGGGCACGACGAGTCTCGCACAGAGCCAGAATCGAGACGCAAACCTGTCGACACGGAGGGAAAATACGGTCTCATTAGCACAACAGACGCAGTGGAATTGAAAGATGTCGATAAGACGTCATTGGGGCCGAGTGCCAAGCACTTGGAAAAGGCTCGGGAGGTCAAACGGCTCGAAGAAGACGAGCGCCAGCGAAAGCTAGGTAAGTCGTCGTGTAAGGAAGCGTCGAAGCTGACAAACGAGGAGAAGAAGCAAATGGCTCAGCAGATGGTGGAAGATGCCAAGAAGCGTGATGAGTACATGAAGCGGCGTGCAACGCTGAAGAAAGACGAGCTGGGCAAGCTTGAGCAAGATGCCACAAGCAGTAATCCGGATTTTCTCAGGTGGGTTTTCTTTTGCAAACACGCACGCCATGTGGATTGTGTTGGTTATTCACTGCTTTCTTGTAGGAAACTGCGGTCGGAAGCATATCTGGACAGCGAGAGTAGCATGAGCGACCGGCTTCACAGAAATGCTCATTACATACAGAGAAAAGCTGACGCCTCCAACTTTCTTACGAAGTAGATCTACTAGTTTCCAGAATTGTAGACACGAAGATCAGCCGGCTAGCAACGAAGAGAGCTATTCATTTTTCCGTTTACGACATCGGAAAAGTAACAAAATGAAACATAAATGACCTGCAGTGCGACCACTGATGAAGGTTGGCTCTTGGCCACGAATGAGCG